CAACAGAGCAGTTTAATAAGTACGTTTTCACATGCAAGGAATTCGCTGTAAGTTGGTGCATAACAATAAAACTTAATAATTAAAGATAAAAGCAGAGACAATATAAATATGACAATATGAAGAGAATATGTACAATATGGCCAGATATTTAAACAAACAAGTAAAGAGCTGTATAGGAATGTGCAAAAAACATATATATTTTTAAAATAACTTAAATATAACCTTTACCTTGACCATGGCCTTGTACTTCTCCTTCAGCTGCTGGTACATGACGCTGTATTTCTGCACCGGCAGCAGAGACAAGGTGCTCTTGAACTCGCTGTTCCTGCACTCGGTGGCCCAGCGCACCAGCTTCGGCAGCAGGTCGGTGGACAGCCAGGGCAGCTTCGGGTACGCCACGCCATCAGAGAACCACGCGTCTGGAGTCAGCGCATGCAGCTCCAAGGCCCTGCAGATAAAGATGCTCAGTTTGTTGTATGTGTACTATAATTTTAATTCCTAAATTCTAGTTTAAAAACCACTAATAATATATAAAACCACTAATACAGTGGGGAACAGCTGCACAGACTCAGAGCTCCAGACTTACTGTGTTTAAACTGGTTTGTGTTCATTTAAATGAGGATTTGTGTGCCACTAAAGCACAGTACAGGCAAGATAAAGGCCTTAACGTTGGTGCTGTTTTATTAATCTTAAAGGTCTGACTTCAGGAGTCCCTGTGTGACATTTCTAAATTAATGTGCTTAATCAAATCACTCTCCCCCCCTGTAGTGCTCTAGCAGAATAAATGCACCTATTGCCTAGAGAGTGAGTAAAATGGGGCGTTAATAGACACCCAGCAGCTACTTTTTACCCCCCTAGCAGGTAAATCAGGCTCTGATATACACATATTTTTGAACACTGCTTCCATTTTCCCCTCCGATCAAATCAAGTTTTGTTTATCTTCCTGTGGTGTTACATTTTTAATGTTTCCTCTATGTTCTGTCCTGTTTGTATCCATCAGATTTAGAAAGCAGGACACAGTTTTAAATCTGAAAACATTTCCAGGGACAAAGAAAGGAAAACAAATAAAAACAAGACTCCAGCAGAGAGACTTAAATCTAACTCATCTTATTATATTTATATTATAACAACATGTACTACATACAATAATACAATCTGTTCAAATTATAATATAATATTGCTCCACTTATAAAGACTACAGCTGCCCATATCTCCACACATTAATACACACTGTATTTCACTGTTACTACAACTACAACTGTAAACAACACTGCACCTCTATCACATGTAAGGGTTGTGCACAACATTGTATTCAGTTTATCTTAACTTATTTAACTGTGATAAAAGAAGAACATTTGTTCTGCCTGTGTCAGCTTTCTGCATCTATTAAAAATTAATAAGTGTCCAGGTAGATTTACTCCATTATTAATCTTTTATCTTAGTCAGAGTGAAGTCATACTGTACTTTAATACCAACAGTGTAATTTAGTATTTGTTAATACTCATTAAACATTGTATTTATGTGAGGAAAAACAACGTGTACAAAGGTTCATGTATTCAGCCGCTGATACAATATTTAGTTTGATTATTGCTTTATTATAATATAGCTGGCTCTCTTTTTAACTAATCTGGTTGTTCTAAGTGAAAACACGAATGAATGCTGATTCATTTTGGTATTTTTATTTAGTTTATATTCAGTGTTTCTTAAGGTTTATTTATTCATGTTTATCATATACGTTGTATTTTATAATGTTGTCAGTAAACCAAACAAGAAAAAGAATGGTCCTGTGTAAACATGTTCAAAAACAAGGTATTTCAGACTAAATGAATTTAATTAAATGTATATTGTGAGTATCATTCACTCACCATGTCTCACAGTCCTGATGGAGGAGCTGAATCTGATAAATGTTGCCCCTCTTTAGAGACACCTGCCCCTCTGAATCCTCTTCAAATGGAAGAAAGGTGACTTGTTGTCTCCCAAAATCTTAAACAAAAAACAATAATTAAAATGTAAAAAGCTATAAGAAGAGAAGAGTGTTTCAGAGCCCTTCATTAAAGCCCACCCTTACCTTTGAGTATAACCTCTTTGTGCAGCTTTGTCCCGTAACAGCTGACTTTAGGGATGATTGTTCTGACACTGTGACACCAGGGTTTGTCCTTGTCGTGCGTCTGCGCAGGTGTAACCCCGCAGGTGAGGAAGGACAACACCTGGTGGGAGAGTTGAGTCTCCCCCAGCAGGAACCGCAGAGCCTCTGCGTCCACATCTGCACCCTCCGTCTCCGTCACTCCGCACACACGCTTGTTCACGACGTGGGGTTTCTTTATCCACACGTCCACGGCCGACCAGAAGCCCTCGGGAAGAGTCTTACATCCTCCCGGAAACTTTAAATCAAAGAGTTTTGGCATTACTGAGCGTCAGACTGCGACTGCTGCAGCCATGTGTTTACAAACGGAGAACCAACTTCCGGTGACTTTTATTTTGTTGATTAAAACAAAAAAAAAACTCTTACTTTGACATAAAACCTTGTAAACTTTAGTTCAAATAATCTGACAAATCAGAGTAGCATGAAACACGTGCTGAGTTTTATTATTAATATTAGCCGAATAAAAATGTTGTCGCCCCATGATGACGTTTACAGTCGCAGTTACAGGGTACACGCTGTAGACGGCGCTGTTGCTCTGTGTGATTTAATCAATATGTGATCAATATTGACCCTTTATGAGGAAAGAGTAGATTTTTATTATTAATCTTTACTGTTTTTTAAATAAATAACCATTGACTTTCTGTTACTACTACAGTTTTTATAGGCTGCACCATCACTGTTTGGATACAACTAATGACATTATTAATAATAATAATAATAACAATAATAATGCCATTAATCATTTTAATTATCAATAATGAAGTAACATGTT